AGGGGACTCTCAAGAGTCTTCTCCAGCATGCCCAAATTACGCCTGGTTTAAGAACCACTGTTCTAAGGTCTAAGAGGTATTTTTGTTTCTCTTCGACAAATGTCACCGGACAAGAATGTAGCATGCCTTTTTTTTTTCAAGGGCAAATTGACTGTACACCACCGACTACTTACATATTTTCTTTAACATAGTTTCAAGTATTTTTAGCATTTTTCTTGTGCAAAAATATTTTAAAGTGAGTACATTTTGTTATGAAAGGAAGAAGCCCTTTGCATCATGTGTGAAGGGTAGTTTGTTTCCATTTGTGGAATGGAATTTGAATCCAAAAAGGAAAGTGTGATTCAGGACACATGTGAGTGCAGGTGTACCTGTTTGCATTTCTGTAAATTTAGGAAAAGATGCAGCTGCTTTTAAGATGCAAATCTTTTAATCCGGATTTAAAGTCCTAATACTTTCCATCCTGGGGTCATCTGGCAATGTGTAACTGGTTGGAGGATTAAAAAGCAAAACTTCAGATGAGCAATTGCTTAGAAAGCATCTTTTGAATCAAGCTGAAATCCTGTTGTAAGAAAAGTTTGGATCGAGATCATTGGTTTATCAAAATGTTAAAAAGGTTGAGCATCTCAATTATCAGTTGTAAAGCTGAAGCGGTGGCTGGATCTGTTCATCTTTTAACCGAAAGTAGTTCAGGGTTACGATCTTTTCAAAGTGGGACGGCAGTAAAGTTACAATAATAAAACGAATTCCCTTCGTGCGTGCAATACGTTTGGCCCAGAGACCCCCTTCTGGCTCTCCGTGCAGGCGACTGAAAAAGCGTACAGTGAACGGTGTCGCCTTAAGGCGTTGGTGCCCCTACCGTTTCACCGGCTGAACGGGACCGTAAGGCTTGGGAGACAAAACCATCGGCGGAGGGCGGGGGAGCGAATCACAGAACTGCCTTACCGGTCGGCCTAAGGAAAAGCCGGGGAGCGCCGAGGACCGGTGCGCCGGCGGTTGCTCTGCACTGCACGCGCGCTATTTTGTCGCTGCTCCTGGTGCACGCCCCCCAAGCCTCGGGAGCCCCTTCCTCAGCCCTGCCTCCTTTGCTGGCGCCGAACCAGTCCGCGCGTGGGGTACGCGTTTGATTCCCGAGAGAATTTTTCTATTAAGCCCAGAGGATCCACTTGCATAGGATAAGTCGCGGCGAGGGACGCACTACAGCTCAACTCTTGCAGAGAATCAAACGGAGCGGAGAGGACGCGCACCACCGGAGCACTCCCGGCTTATTGCGGCGCACGAGAAAAGGGTGAGCGCGGGGGGGGGCTAATGCCACGCCCCCTTCTCCCCTTTCGGCCCGGCTTCAAGTAAGAGCAGGGGGAAAAAAAGGAAAGCGGCCCCGCCCCCGGGAGCTGAGATAGCCGCTTCCCACTGATGTCAACGGGTTACGTCAGGCAAAGGGGCGGGGCTCCTCGCGCGCTTCTTTCTTTTCTGTCTCGCATCGGTGACGTTCGAGTCTTTCTGAGGCGAGGAGGCCGGCCGGCGCGCGCACGAGGCGGTGACCCGCGAGTTGAGGGGAGGCGACCCGACCCGAACGACCATGGCCGATTACCTGATCAGCGGCGGCACCGGCTACGTGCCGGACGACGGGCTAACGGCGCAGCAGATGCTGAACTCTGGCGATGGGCTCACTTACAAGTGAGGCGGCGGCGGGCGGGGAGGAGAAGGAGGGAAGGGAGACTAGCGTGGCGGCGGCGGCGGCGCCGCTGACTCGCCACGCGGTGTCCGGCCGGGCGGGAAGGTGACGGGGCGGCGCTTCGAGCGGGATCCCGAGCCTGAGTTTCCCCAGCGCGGTGACCCCCGCTCTGAGGTAGCGCGGCCGTAGCCCCGGCGACAGCGGGAGCCCGTTTGAAGGGTAAAGGCGGACGGCGGCGCGGCAGGTGGGGGGGGCCACCTCGGGGGCGACCTGCTCCAGCTGCGAAGCATCGAAAAATGGGGGTGATGCCGGCTGAGGGGCGGGGAGGGCCGAAAGGGAAGTTTAAAAGCATCGTGCCAAGTCCGCAGGACATAAAGTGCGCTTTTTCCTTTAAGATCACCGGCAGCGCGTTATTATGCTGCAGGCTGGTGCCCCCTCCGTTGCTGTTTGGCTCCTTCTAGGTGTCTGTAGGGGAGGAGAGACCCTCACCAGCTTCGCCTGGTGGAGGAGTTTTATACCTAAGCGCAACTGAAGAATGGAATGAAATAACGATTGGAACAATGTGCACTGGTCATAATATGAAATAAGGAGCCTTTAAACTGAAGGGTTCATGACATAATAAATCTAATAATAATAATAACCTCTTTACTGTAACATGCTTCATTGGCTGGGCAGAACTTGTTTCAGAGCAAAATTAATTTTGCAGAATCGTTCTTATGTATATTGCATATTAACAGTCAAGGAGAAGTCCTTTCTGGTCATTTTTAGCTCTCCCTTCTGACTCCTGGCATTCCTAATATTTAAATTTTGATGTTCAGGTAGTCCCTGGGTTAAGAATGCCCAGTTTATGGATGACCTGTAGTTAAGAACGGAACCTATTGTAGCAAAATTCGAGTTAAATACACAATGATCCGAGTTAAATACACAATGATTCAAGTTACTTATGCAGTATTATACAATAATACTGTTCCGGCCTACATACCTTGGGAACAGAACTTGCTCTTAAACTGTGGACTATCTGTACATCCACAAGACAGCTGTTCTACATACCCCAAAATTCTACCCTTTGCAGGCTTATAAGGTAATCTCTCTCTTAAATTTTGTGCTCACAAATGTGAAAGGTACATGCCACTATGAACTATCTTTGTGTCACCCAGCTGACCACTGTCCATTTTTTGGAAGTTATAAACCTAGGGCATTTAATACAGCTTCCCAGGTTACATTTATTTCTACTGAGCCTGGACACAGTATATGCATTACTAAGCCACCTGTTGCTTCATGTGACCAATTTTAGTTCTTAGCTCATAATCCTTATATAAAAAACTGCAATGTTGCATTATAACACCCCATCACATGCTAGGCATTTCTGTTAGTGCAGACTAGTAA